CTTTATTCTTTCATTACCCTACTTCATATTCATCACCTACGGGCTCTGGTGAAAGTTGCAAAACTACAATGTTTAAAATAATTATGAAATCTGTACTGAGATGTTGCCACACAGTTAAATAATCTATGCCTAATAAGCACCTCACCTGGACAGCGCACAGCATTGTCTGGTTGTTGTAGATTGCCTCGATCGGTGGTGTCTTGTTGTTTAGCCCACAATACTTTGGCAGCCTGGGTGGTGTTTTGGACGTTGCTGCAGGCTGTCCTGAACTGGGGATGTGGGCCAGTAGAGGTGGGTTTGTTTTATTTTTATTTTTTTATTTTGGAAGGTGACGATACACTATGGATTTGTTGTATTCAGCAAAATTATCCTCCTCTCCACAAGTGAGCCATAGAGCCAGGGTGGGCTGACAATCTTGAACCATCACTGGCTGCTTCATCTGCTTCAGTTTTCCAGACGACAAACGTTCTGCTCAGTGGCTCTTTCTAGTTCTTGGGTCTCGCAATTTCCAGGCTAATCTTAAATCCCACTTTTGACACTAGAGTGGCAAGCTCACATCAAAGTGTTAAAATTTGCAATTCTTCTGATCAAAGACCGCTCAGCCTCAGAAATGCAGCTTTATTAGTGTTAACACACGCACACAAACAGGAAATAGTGGCCCCGGCGGTCAGCAATTGTCACGGCAGTCTCAGACATTATGCATTTTAGAGCTCACATACCCATAAATATGGAGCTAGACTGCCATCTTGTGGCCAATAAGAGGAACGATGATATAAATGCCCAAAACACAGGGTAGAATAACAGAAGGGAAACACAGAGGAGACTAAAAATAACCAAAAAACACCAAACTGGAGGTTGGGATATAACTAACACCAAACAGGAACCAACAACTTAGATGCTGAAGCAGTCACTGCACCCGTGGCAGTCCTCTTAATCTGAAAAAAGTAGTGCAGCTCAAATTTGTAATAATCTCAGAAAAGCTCAGTCTAGTTTAAAAAAACTAGACTCAGCTTTTCTAGTAGTAATTTCTGCTGTTACAGGGTCAATAAATCATATTGCATATGAGACTAAAACTTCATAATGAGCAAGTTATATTTTTGTGTGCAGCGGGTTGGCATTGTGTGACATCGCTTTCCTGTAATCTGTTCATGGTGCAGGTGTGAAAGTTGCAATTGCACTATTGGAGCATGCAACACTAAAAAAGAGGAGTCAGTGTAAATGGAGTTAGTTTTTATAAGTGGCAGATAAATTTAGATACAACTTCTCAGCTCAGCAGTGCGGTTTGTCACACATTGTGTTTAGGATGCTAGATGCAGGCTTGCTGTAGTTTCTGGAGTGAGAGACAAAAACATTAACATTAGACTGAACGTTAGACTATAACCAGATCAACAATGCAGTCAAATATGTTATATTTCAATGAAACCTTTCCAACTCTCACTAAGTAAACAGAATAAATCGCCTGTGGTCTCATGCAACAGTCTTTATATACTCTGTTATTTCTGCTGGTGTTCTGTCTGGTACCAGTCTTTGAGTTTCAGCATCCTTTTTTGACCTATAGCAGACCTTTTAGCCATTTTTTAGCAAATTATGACACACATACTGTGTCACTTCACACCACATTTTCTCCCGTTTCCATCACATTCACCAAAATTTACAGTGTAACTTTGACTCTGTGCCTTTTTGGTATCTTGTGACTTTCACTGTACATAGCATTGGACACAGCCATAGCCAGTCAAAATGTGGGACATTGTCTCAAGATGTGGGACAGAAAAAATCCTGTGTAGTCCTACTTAAAGAGGGACATCTGATCTCCAGCTGCAGGGTTAACATACAGAGCCAGACAACCATCCACACTCACATTCACAACTATGGCCAATTTAGAATTGTAAGTTAACTTAATGCATGCGTCTGGAGAAGATCGGTGTACACACACAGGCACAGGTCACATGGTAACTTCACAAACTGAGGAAAGGGCCTAGCCAACCCACAGGTTCAAACCCACAGCCCTCTTGCTGTGAGGGGAGAGGGCTAACCGCTCAGGAGATCCAGTTCAAGTTCAGCAGATCATGAACAACGTCTGCGAAATTAGTTCCATGTATTTCCTCAAAAACATCAGAGAGCAGAATGTTTTTGATCCAGTGTTGTTTACACTCATTTACACAAGCTGACCGACCCACACAAATGTGGGTCGGTCTCCATGTCCACGTTCATACATGTTAAAGTCTCCATCCTGTGACCTTCACTTATTTTTATCCAAGGTGTGAATTGTTGAGCTTGCATGTTGCACCTGGTGGTTTTCACTTGAAGAATGACAAACTATTTGTGGGAATGAGTCACATGCAAGAAGTCACTTGTTTACCTTTGTTTACAAAAAGTGTAACTAGGGGAACTCCATAGGTATTATTTTACACAACATTGAGATATCAGGCCATCGGGTCCTACACATTGCTTGTGAATGAAACTGCAACCCTCTACATAAGAGGTAGGGAACGTTAGTCCTGGAGAGCCGGTGTCCTGCAGGTTTTAGATCTCACCCTGGGTCACCACACCTGAATCAAATGGTTAGTTCATTACCAGGAATCTGGAGAACTTCAAGACATGTTGAGGAGCTAATTTAGCCATTTAAATCAGCTGTTGGATCAAGGACATCTAAAACCTGCAGGACACCAGCTCTCGAGGCCTGGAGTTGCCCACCCCTGCTCTATATGATTTCTTCTACACAGCTTTTTTTTTTTTTTAAACTGCATACATGAACATGACAACACCCAGAAAGAAAGCAAAAGCAAGTGCTTAATCTTAAACATCTTATTCCTCTCACACGACTAGAAAGCTTAAAGAGCTCAGTGAAACAGGCGTAGGCTAAGAAGGAAAGAGCAAACTGATATTTCCATCCAGAACTGCTAGCTCATTTAAAAGTGAGGAACAATCCTCTGAACATTTCGGTTAAACGATGGGCGGCGAAGACAGAACGCAAGATGCCAAAGATGAAGAAGGCGATGAAAGGAAGTGAGAAAAAGGAAGAGGGGTGGGTTAAGAAAGGAAACCAAAATAGTGAATTGCAATTGTGTAATCTGTCAAAGTGCTGCTTGTTATGTTAACTTCACAATCTTTCTGCTGTGTAAATGCAAGACACACACATGACACACACTCTCACACACCGTGCTCTGGGTTTCATGTTTATTACTTTTCAATGTACAATGTAAATTTCCCAGGCATTGCTCCAGCAGCGTGCCAGCTGCTCACAATATTGCTCCTCTTTGGTCCCGACACCTCTCCAGCTTCTCCTGGTGCTGCCCCTTCAACCATCCACGTCACCTCTCCCTCTGCAGCTGAGCCACAACACACACCTCCCTGCCACACTGCCAAACCTCGACAGTGACTCCAAAAGTGGCACGAAGGGATGAACAACCACTCTTCTATAAAATATTCAATCATTTGGTGTTTTGGAGACGATGACGTACAGTGCTGGGTAAGCTCTGAGATCCATGAAAGCCAGAAAACACAACACATCAGTAAATCCTGCAGTAATGTCCTATAGTCTGTCATCTTGAGTGAGACCAGTCCCAGAACCTTACCAAACTTGTAGCAGATGGCTGCCCCTCCCTCAGGTTTCATCCTGTTAAAAGGGAGTTTTTCCTTCCCACTCTAGTGGGGATCGTCTGGTTCTCTTTACCTTGCAATATAAAGCACCTGCAGGCAACTGTTGTTTTTATTTGAGAATATATAAATAAAACGGAAATGAATCAAAGATGATCAGTTATCACTGTATTTAAACCATGCGAGTAAAACAAAGCTCACAAAAAATAGACGATCTCCTTCACTGTTGGGTTCAGTTTTTATTGTGTTACTGATCTATTCATTTTCATCACCATCATAACCCAGTCAGTCCATGCTGCTGATGCTTTTCAGTCAGAGAAACACAAACAATATCACCACACCATAGATTAATAACAGCGATGCATATCTTACTAATATAGCCACTGTGATATCAGTTTGCTGCAAACTAATGTGGTTTTGACAACACCGGGCCAGAGCTGCACGGAGCCACTCTGGCATCAACAAGGAATTTTCATCCTTATGAATTGCAGCTCACTGTATATTTTCTCCTTTTCAGTCTTTTCTGTGTAAACCTTAGAGATGGCTGTGTGGAAAAATCTCAGCAGATCAGCAGATTCTGAAATAGTCAGACCAGCTCATCTGCCGCCAACAACCATGGCATGTTCAAAGTCACTTAAATGTCCTTTCTGATGCTCAGTTTGAACCTCAGCAGGTTTGTCTCATTGAGCTGGTGCCATATGATTAACAGACTGGATATCGGTGTTAATGAGCAGCTGAAGGGATGTGTCTAGGAATTTGGCCTGTTTGCGTTAACAAATAATACTGAACTAAAACTTGGATCTTTTGAACATAGACTGTATAATTATTATCAAAATGCAAAGCTATCAAAATGGTTCCTCTTTTCAGTTTTGCACCACATAGATCACACCACAGTGCAGCAGGCCCTGCATTTTTCACAGCAGCTCTAGATGTCTCTAGATATGACACGAGGAAAATATGTAAAGATGCACTGGAAGGTGTGAAAATAAGCGAACAGCAGCACTGTGTGGGCGTGCCCATCATTCAGTCATTGTTGTTCACACACAATGAAGCCTGATAAGGCAGACAATAAACGAAAACATTTACAGTAACATAATATCACTTTAGTGAAGAAAGAACAGAATCTGACACTAAATGTGGCAATTTTCTGTTGCTATAAACCGACAAGTACAGGAAATCATCCACACACACACACACACACACACACACACACACACACACACACACACACACACACACACACACACTAAGCCTGCATGTAGAAAGCCACAAACACATTTTCAGCAAAAAGACAGGATATATGAATCACACACAACAACCGTCTGCTTGCATCGCTCTGTGCACTCAGAAAAGTGCAGAGGTGAAAATGACGCAGTTTGAAACATTCACTCCCAAACTTATACTGCAAATCATAACGACACCATTTATTTAAAAAGACCACTGTGCACAGTTTACACTGACACATACACAAATACATACAAATACAAACGCACATGTCAATCCAAACAATGCGGATAGTTAACTTTCTAGTAAAATTTAGTTAACTACAGCAGACAGCAGTCATAAGAAGGTGAGCAAAATTACAAAATAAAAAACGTAAATGACAAATCCTTAGCTTTTTGCAACATGTACACCAAAGGCTGTTCGCACAATGAAATAATCTGCAGTGACATTCTTTTTGTAGTTTGTCCAGAAAGAAGGAGCCTTCTAGATTGAAAATTGAATACTATGTTGTGTGAAAAGGTTTCTGCAGTGGCAGTGAAGCCACTCTTACATAATGTATACGTGATGGTAAAATTCACAATGTGCAAGTTTTCTTGTAGTATGCAAAACATTTTTGAGGTTTAAAAAATGTTAAAGTTTGATATTATATAGTTTGATATTTTATAGTTTGATATTTTAAAGGCACTTCTGCACTGCGGAGCCAATGCAGAGGTGCTTTGAGCCTGCAGTTTGACCTAATTGCCAACAGGGGGCGACTCTTTTGATTTAAAAAAGAAGTTTGGTTCTACAGCGATGTAAAAGAAAACGACCCTTTCTCTCCCTTGTCCTCAGAAGAAACTTTTTTTCTGATAAAACGTATCACAAGACACATGACCATAACATGATGCTTAGTTTGTAAAACATGGACCCCATTTGATTCAAACAGGGTGATAAAGCAGGGTATGCTTTAGGGCGTGGCTCTCGGTTTCTCAGTATGATCCACACCTTGCACATGATGCCTGGTTCCAAAAAGCTACACTCAAAAAATCCCATTCAAGCCCAAAACGATTAAGATACTTCAATTTTTGTGAGTTTTTGAGACCGCCATCATCAGTTTCTTTTTTATACAAAAATGCCAAATGTAATATGCAAACTGATATATATTGTTTTGCAGTTACCACTGTAGTTTGAAAAAAATGAGAATTTTCTGGCAATTATTTCATCGTTCAGGCTTTACTGGGCTGTGAGGGCCAAGAATATTTGTTTTGAGTATATAGTCTTTAGAAACTTTAGAAACCAGTTGGTTACATCATCTTTTATATGCAGTCTGACAGATTTTGCTTAACCTGCTTAACCTGGCAAAACATTTGTAGAAAGCCTCAAATGTTAAGAGGCAAAAAAAAATCTACCATTCTCATATGAGCCACTTTATTTGAATCTAAGCTATTCTAAGCCAAGCTAAACTGAGCTAACCAGCTGCTGGTCTCAGCTCTGTATTCAACATACAAATGCCAACAGCAGTGAAGCTAAATAACGGTAAACGTGAAAATAAGAGTATTTCCCAAAATGTAAAACTGTTTCTAGGATGTAAATATGGAATAAGTAGCAAAGAGTAACAACTACTAGCAATATTCTATATAATGTTGCATTAAACAGAAATGTCAATGTGTACACTTTGACAATTACTTTGTATTTAACATATAATTTACTCAAGTATAATGAAAAATTAAGAAAATAAAAAAAATTATAGTCTGATTGTTCATTTAAAACATCTCACATCTTTCAGAAGTCTGTTTCCTCATGTAGACTCACTTTCTGATCTAAGAGGATCTGAAATCTACACAATATTTGTTATATACATACAAATATTACAATATCTATATATATAATTCTTTGGCAGGTCAAGTTTCAGCGTCACATTATCAGATAGATTTATAGTTTGAGACAAGCTTTTAAAAAGATGAAGAAAAAGATTAAAAATTATTTCCATATACTAAGCTCAAGTTTTTTCATTCTTTTGGTGCTTTTGGAGTTTTCTTCCTGGGCTGAGGAAGAGGAGGAGGCTGCTCTTCGCCGCCGTTACCACCTGGAGCGGAAACCTGAAGGAGAGTGAAAAAAGGTGTATCAGACCTAAATTATGTATTTCCACATGACTCACTGTTACTGTTTTCAATTTTCATTCTAAGCAGTCAGAATAATAGCAAAAATAAATCATTTTTGGTCTAAAAAACTTCTGTGTCATCTGCTTCTGTGTCATCTGCTTCTGTGTCCTACCTGCGTAGCCCGTCTGGGGCTGGGCTGAGGTTGGCCGTTGGCGGGCTCAGGCGCTCTGGGACGCTGCTGGGTGCGTGGCTGTTTAGAGCGATGTTGTCGGGGGCCGGTGTTGCCTGCCGGCTGCTGCTGATGGTGGTGGGGGTGATGATGCTGATCAGAATTATTTTGATTTGGATGTTGATGATGCTGATGATGATGCTGATGATGATGATGTTGTTGTTCCTGATTGCCCCACTGCAAGCGAAGCTCCCTCTCATCTGTTAAAGCAAATATAGGTGACAGGTCAGACCTGCAGAATCATAAGGAGGTGATGTCCATGATGGACGTTAGGTTAGACCAGCGGTCCCCAACCTTTTTTGCGCCACGGACCGGTTGATGCCTGACAATATTTTCACGGCCTTTAAGGTGTCGCGGAAAAATACAACAAAATAAAACTATTACCCGTACTGGAAAAAAAAGAAGAGTTATTCATAACACACGTGAAAAGACCCAGGAAAACAGAGTTAACGATAAAAACGATAACAAAATAACGCTGAAAACCGATAAAAACCCTGAAAACCATACATTTCACACCTGAGCCTCAACTCTCGCGGCCCGGTACCAAACGACTCACGGACCGGTACCGGTCCGAGGCCCGGGGGTTGGGGACCGCTGGGTTAGACAACATCCTCTCCTCCCCAACCTGCTCGATGGACTTCAGTGGACAGTCCAGGACAGAGCTGGCACTCATGACCAGTTTGTTAAGTTTTTCTCTGTTCCTCTCTGCCACCACTCCTGCACACCACTGCATAGAAAATAGCAGATGCCACCACAGTGTCATAAAATGTCCCAAGGAGAGTCCTGTTCACCCCAAAATATCTCAGCCGCCGTAGCAGGTGGAGACAACATAGACCTTTTTTTTAGAGTGCATTTGTGTTTGTGGACTAGTCCAGTTTGTTATTGAGGTGAACACCCAGGTATTTGTACTCCTCCACCGTTTCAATGTCCAAACCCTAATCTATGAGGACAGCTGTTGGTCCACTCCCACTCCCTGCATCTTCTCCCTTAGCACTGAGGGTTTGATTGTATTGAAGGCACTGGAGAAATCAAAACACATGACTCTCACAGTGCACCTGGCGCTCTCCAGATGAGAGAAGGCCCGATGCAACAGGTAGGTGACAGCATCATCCACCCTAATGTTCGGCTGGTAACCAAATTTCAGCGGATCTATATCTCTGCCGACTAGTGGGCGAAGGTGAAGTATGATCCTCTCCATGGTCTTGCAACAGGTCTGAAGCAACATCAGTCAGGAAGAGCCACCAATAGCCTCTGAATCCCATAACTTCCAGGTGTATTTAGTGTCAGTTGATTTAATGCTAATGTCTTGGAAGGCATTAGCATTAATGTCCCATTATTGGATCATCTTGTTTAAAGACCCAGCCCATAAGAGCTGGTTTAGAGTCTGACAGATGGAGCACATTGTAAATGAAAGAGTGGAAAGTCAGCCACCACAGAAAACCATGGCAATAACAGGATGTATTATGTGAGTGTTTCTCTAGAACGACATGTCACAAACTGAATGCATCGCTGTATTCAGTTTGTGACATGATAAGTGGCACAAAGTGTTTTGGAACAGCAACAAAAAAAGAGAACTGAGAGTTTTAACTATATATTTACTCACTTCTGAATAGCTCAACAGATAGTGAGCTCTGTGAGACACATGTCACATAAAAACCTGACTCAAACTCCACCTAGTGTTATAAAAAAGAATATGCTTTCTGACGATGCACAGACTTAACCAGCTTAAGCTGCAGGTGACTCTTGTTTGGAGTCAGAATTTATTGGATTGGATGATTGAAGTCTGAAGAAACAAGACATATTTGCAATTTATTCAGTTGTTCATTTAACAAACACTGGCCTCATTAGCCTCAGTAGCATGTAGAAGAAGCATACAGAGCCACAACAGCCTGGCACCTGCTCCTCATACTGGTCACCAGCTCGCTCATACACTGCTGTGGGATTCTATCCTATTCCTCAACCAAATGTGGATGTGTTAGTCACTTGAGCACAGGACTAGAGGCAAGCCATTTCATCCTCTCCACTCCCAAACACTGGAGTTATTCTCTGATAAACTGCGCTCTGTGCGGGTGAGCACTGTCATCTTGGAGGAAAGAGTCTGGTCCCAGACAGCAGAAACAAAAGATTGCCACTACTGAAGAATCGTATCTCAATATCTCTCTGCACTGAAGCTGAGGCCGTCACACAACAGTCACTGAGGCAGTCACACAACATCACGGAAACTGTTACCCTATTGGTGCAGCAATCAGCGTACCATTCTCTGTGTCTTCTCCACACCTTAACCCTGCGATTCAAGTGCTGTCGGAAAACTTTCAACTCACATACATAATGTCCCTGCACATGTTTAGGCTCTACTGCACATATGCTCAGACACCATGGCCTTTGTAGCAGTGTCCACAGGTGCTGACAGTCAAGTGCCTGAGTACCAGCATCAGTACTTGTAGCAGCAAAAAGACAAAAGGTCAAAACAAGTCAGTAGCAGAACAAGCTGTTTGGCACAGACATGGAAGATTTGGCAAGTTATGTAAATGAATAAGTAAATGAAAAAAAAATGGAGATTTGTTTGGCCCAGTAAAAATATAAGTCATTTAAATGTAAATAATATATGAATAATATATATTATGTATTATGATATTTTGTGAGCACAGCAGCTTATATTTTAAATAAGCACATTCTTACCCTTTAGTCTCAAACGCCTCTTCCGTTTGGTCCGGATGGAACAAATGATGACAATTAGGATCAGCACCAGAACAATACCTGATGGTGAGTAATAACAGCAAATTGCATTAGATGTAAGAGTGAAAAAACAGAAGCTTTCCTATGCATTTTCACACCATAGCCCCAAATATGATGTCAAGATTTTAAGCAGAAGACAAACCTTACCTGCTCCACCACCCACAAAAACCCAGATGCTAATTCCAAATAGTGTGTCAGGAAAAGCTTTAAAATAAAAGGAGAAGAAAAGTATCTTGTTAACATATGAGCTCAATAAAATGACCACTTCAGTTCACGAACATGGAAAAAGGCACATTTGAACATTTGTACCCTTGATAACACATAATACGTACAGAACTTGCAGTCTTGTTGAACAGGCTGACTGGTCTCAGAGCTGACGCGGTTAGAAACATTGCAAAAGAAACGAGCATTCAGCACATCTTTGACTGGTCTTGTCAGGTCCTTGACAATCTCTTTTTCTGCCGTCTTTTTATCAACCATAAACCATTTGATCTGAAAATTTTTTTCACTCTGTAGACAAACAGACAATTAGTTAGTGGATTATTAGTTAGTTCAGATTTTAAGTCTAACAAGTCCAACCTGACCAAAATGAGAAATATAATAATCTTTTCATACATTTTCAATAATTTCCAAGCCTATATAATTAAATAATACATACATAGAAACACAACTTCCTGAAACAACATCTCTGAGTAAATGCTTGTAGACAGCACACTTCAAATCATGTTTGGTTTCAGTGGAGGAGAAATGAAGCTTATGTCCACATATTCTTCAACAACTTAATTATCAGTCAGTTATTTGTAGAGTACAACAATAAACAATGTCCTCACCTTACCAACATTGCAAGTAAAAGTGACTTTTGTCTTATCAGGTGTACATGTCCTCGTCACTGTGGGCTTCTGCACAGGATCTGAGTACAGAAAATGTGATTATATCAACATTATATAAACTACTGCTTTTCTACAATAACAAGTGCTGTTGATTGATAAAACTGAACAGTGACTTCATAATAAAACCAAAGATTTTACTTTTAATTATAGTATCTGACTAAAACAGCTTCTGATGGATCAGCACACTTTCTTGTTGTGATATAAGTAGTACAAACACAATGAATATATGTATAATGTGTTGTTACTTACCTAATACACACAAATGCACACTTGGTAAATCCCCCGCATTTATTCCCTCTGTGTAAACCTCTGGTTTGTATCGTCCTGACTTGTCTTTGGTGAGTTGTGTCAGCTTTAGTGATCCAGTTGAATCAACATCATCATTTTTCCCTAAGATCACCTGTTTCTGTCTGCGATAAAAGATTGCAATTGTGTCCTTGAACCATTTCAGCTGATCTGATTCCTTCAACTCATATTTTAGGGGCACAGTAAAGCTTGATCCTGTTGCAGCGTACACACAATCATCCTGAGAGCCTTTGAAACAGAAAGGAAAGTGAAGAAAGACAAAAAAATAGATGTATAAAATTAACTAGTCATGTTACAAAAGCTCTGAAGAATTATATATCAGAGCTGAGGTAAATTATGATTCTGTTAACATAAGGGCAAGTTTATGATTTTACTAGTTTTAAACTAGCAAAAGTCAAAAATTCATTGCATCTACAGATCTATCAAAACTAGTTGTCATGACATCATGACTGTGACTAATTGAAGTATTAAGCATTAACGGTGTGGTTAGTAGTTCATTTCGAACTAACACCATTTCCTGTGCATTTTTCAGGCACTACGATGGACCGCTCTTAAATTAATGATGGGTTTTGATCAAGTTTTAATAGTTTTTTTCCACCACTCTGTCAACCAGTTTACAGCAAAGACTTGTGTACTGTTAATGCTCAATTCCCCTGGAACTTGAATGTAGCTGCTTCTCTGCAAACATGTCTACAATGCCTTGCTTGAGTTGGTACAGAGCTTGTTAACACATTTTCTGACTTCCTGTATGTCCCAGTTTTTCTGAGTGACTTCTTTTTGTGAGACTCTACTCATGAACGTACAAAATCAGTCAAATGTCATTCAGATACAATGTACAAGTTGACAAGTCACCAGAATACAGCTGGTATTTCAGTATAAAGTTAGCAGTTGTATTTTAGTCACATAATGTCAGTAAGAAGTTGCGTATTGTTGGTTTCGACTGATTGAGCTGACAAACGTCTGTAACATTATATTCTGTGGGCGTCCTGCACACATCACTTTACTCCATCACTGAGGCTGGATGATGGTTACATTTCATCCTGTTGTCTCTCTTCAGACCACAGTGTGCAGCGATGGCATCCTCATCTAAACATGCGCTAAAGGTGAAAGGTTTGCCATCAATATATTTTATTTGTAAATGTTTAAAGAGGTGACTGGAATCTATCAGAGATCAAGAGGTGCTGAGCAGACAAAATACACGAATATGTAAAAACAGTTCTCAGTAAAATAGGTTTTGCAATCAGTGAACAACTTTGACACAGTTTCAATTTCTGTGAAGGGAACCACAGGAAATGAGTGGTTATATAAGTCATGTTCTCATGAAGCACAACATTAATATTTTCCAGGATGATTATAAAAAATTAGCTTCTAGCCAAACCTCGTTTTGAGTCACTAGTCGTGGCTGCGTGAGTCTTTTCTCAGAGGAGGACACAAAGTGGCTCATTAGTAATTACCCTAAACCTTTGTTATTGCAAATGAAAAAAATAAATAATATTTCAGCAAAACCACCGTTTTCTTTAACTTTAAACAAAAGTGTTTTTCTGCTCTAAATCAGAAAACCACAAGTTAGACTCAGCAATGTGAACCTTTGAATACCTTCCACTTCCTGTCAACTACAAGAGCTCATCACCAGAAATGTAGTTTTTTCTTTTATGTGTACTTAAGAAAACATTTTAAAAAAGGACATAAGGACTAACAACAGACAGCACTACACCGTATTAAGATCAGACATAGCTGTTAACATGCTGAAATCATCAAAACCTCTCACAGTGAACCAAGAAGAAGTGAAATGATGTAACTCATGACATATAAATCCTGCAGAAGAGCAGAGGAGCAACAGCTTCCACTTACGAGAATACATGTTAACTGAAATAAACTGTGATATAAAGCATTGGATTCAAATTTGACAATGAACTGCAATCACAAGCATTTTTATGGCAGTAACATGAGTAGAATGAGTCACTTGGTCTCTAAAGAAGCTGTTTCCTCTACAAAAATTCACAGAATTGTTCCGTATTGACGGGTGAAGTCGCTTTTGCAGTTCATAACCCCGTTTCAAACTGTCATGCTGACAAACAATAGAGGAATGTGTGAAGGCTGCATATACCAGACACCAACGCCATCATTACGCCTCAGCAGAAGGTGACATTTAAAAACCAGCAACGATAAGATGCACAGTATGTTCAACAGAAATGACTTAACTGCTTTTTGTAATTCGCCTCCTGTTGAGCATTTATCAGATCTATTCACATAAACATGAAATGATTTAAACGTAAACGGCTCAAAGGAAAGAGGGGGAACAGAAGGGAATCTTTATGATTTAATTACATCAGAAACAACTTTCATTAGTTTGTTTTGTGACCATAAATTAAGAATTACAATATTTGATGGACGTAAACTAAATTTTAAAATTCTATGTTTTTAACGTTCTTATAACCCATTAGTTCATATATATTGATATAAAAATTCATAAATGCAATTTCATATAATTCAGTTTATTAAAACATTTTTGAGTGTAATTTTTTTTTGCTCTTTTTATGACTTTAATTCTTCATCCTTTCCATTGTTCAGCTCTCACAGCTCCTTTTCTGCGCTGAGCGCTCGCTGCTTCTATGGGTCACCTCTACTTTTGCACCTTTGCATCGCTTCCTGTTCATCCCCATCTCAGACCAAAGTTACCACATCAGCAGCGATGGGTTTCGTCTGCAGAACGTTCTGGACTGTTTCTTTTGTCTAACATTGATGTATTTATGGCCGAGGTTTTCAGTTCACCCCCAAAAATCAAAGACATGCCTCTTTTTTTGAATGTGCATGAAAGCACAACCTAAAAGGAAAGTAAGCTTGAAGCAATTATAGAAAAAGAAAAGCAGAGTCAAGTTTTTAAAAAATAATAATAATGATAATAAAACAAACCCTGCACACCCAAAACCTCAGCAGGAACTAAACCTTCACCCTCGCTCATGTCAGCAGCCCTATCCAACAGTATTACTACAGGTCATTTGTTAGTTCCTCTTTAGTTTTATTGAGTTTTTCCTCAATAAAATAATCATATTTAAAGGACTGGTAAAATATTTTGGATTGTTTAGTTTACTACAAATAAAAAAAGTAGTTTTAATGGTTTTTCTATATTATTTACAGTCACAAAATAGATTTCCACTGAGAGACTCAAACAGAAACACAGAAATATAGACTTTTACTGCATTCTGTGGGTATTTTTAAAGGATAAGTATCTTTGTAGCGCCCATGGCTGAGAGGTTCAATTGAGTATTTCCTTGACAAAAAAAAATGGTATAAATGTAAACCAATAAGTTTGGATTTTAACAATAAAAACCTCAACCTGACAGAATAAACAGATTGATTGAAACATACCTGTGGAGGAAACGAAGCAGCAGCAGAGCAGAAACGCAGCGATGCTGACAGCAGAAGCCATCTTCTTCACTGTTCTCATCACATTCAGCTAAAAAGAACAGCCTCTTTCCATTATCGAGGTTATTTCCTGTCAGAGCGCAGTAACTTCACATATTTTATGTGTGTGTGTGCCACCGTACACGCACGTGTGTGCGCATATATGGTTTTGAAAGGAAGTGATCCAAGAGGCCTCATCTGCTGTCACAGATAAAGAACAAAGCAAGCCAAGCAAATGTCACACTTAGAAGACAGAGTTCATCTTTTTTTAGTTTGAGTTCAGCAGTATAAATATATCTGTGATCTCCTATTAGAGATGTTCAAAAGGTAACCAGAAGTTCAAACACCAAACTGCTAAAATCTGGGTAGCAGGTGAAATTGTAAAACTTAAAACAAAAGCAAGTGAGAAATATAAAAGCTCATAAAACCATGAGCGAGTATGTAATATGACAGTTAAAGTTATGTAAGAACACATTATATCTGCATTTGTTTCCAGTTAAACACCTGCAGTTAAAAGGTTGAAACTGTAATCATGTGGAGGCTTAAAGCTCTTACCTCTGAGGGTTTGCCATGGTCAAAGGTCAGACAGCCGCCGTCACTGCACACGTTTCACCTGCAGATACTCCTGCACGTACACGTAAAGGAGAGCTGTGCATTTGTGTTTGCACAAGTCCATGTTGCCTTTGCACCACTGCTCTGTCCCCGGGAAAAGTTCAAGATGCTGAATTGATTAATCTTTGTAGAGGTGAGACACTTTCCCCCTCATAATGTTAAGTCCCTGTTGGATTTTAATAAAACTTTAAAATGTAAATCTTTTTGTTGTCCACTTTTTGGAAGCTAACATCAAATTTGAGGGTTTTTTTAATGAAAGGAAAAAACAACCATCCACCATCATACCAATATATGTTTATTTTTACTCCAGACTGTGGGTAAGGCTTCAAAAATACTTCTTCCTACGTTTCCCATGATGCCATGGAACTCAATGACCGCTTTTGTTTTACCATCTCTGCCGATTCCTATAAGAGATGAAGGTAGCAGCTAAAATCTTATTGTTATTTATTATTAATCTTATTTGCATGTGCAGTCCCTTTGCAGGTTACATGCAAAAGATCACAAAAGTGCCACATAAAAAGTAAATCACAACCCCCCCTGCACGTCCATTTAGCTACTCTGACATAAAAACACAAAATGCTAATGTGTTAAAGAAAGTATAGATTTTAGTAGACTTATGTTCTTAAATATACTGTTCTTCTTAGACACCATGCCCAAGTTCCAGTCTCCCATCACACTAGAACTCTACGGGGTGCGAAGCAACATCTCCGTCTCACTCGGACTTTTACATTTGAAGCTGCTGAGTAAAGAACATATCGCACATGCAGGTATCTATGGGCGAAGATGTGTGCATGAATTTGACAGGAGAGAAAATACATGAGGCTTTATGTGCCAGTTTAAAGATGGTCATTTTGTCATTTCCAGCCTCTTTTTTTGGACAATTACATTATTAAATCTTTTATGGATTTAAGACACAAAAAAAGCTCTTTCAGACCACTAACTGTGTGTAACGTGTGAGTCCTACCTGTAGATGTCTGACTAAAAAAGTAAGTCTAAGAGTGCAACTAAAGCTCACTTCTCACATGTGGTTTGACGCCTCAGTGCAGGTCCTGGTCGTAAATGAAACAGGAGGAAACTCTTTGTATCATTTTCTGTAAAACACTCTGGTCCAGACTAAACTCTTCTGTTGGGTGTCATATCATTCAGCAATGCTAAACTTCTTTTGGTTTTGGTTTTAGTACCCCAATCTTGTTCCTTTTTCTGTCTCTGTT